GGAGCGTCTTCTTTGCACGGACCTCGGATTTGGGGGATAGACCGCGGGTAATTTTATCACGACCTCTTTACGAATGTTTTGACATATCCGCCGTGGAAATGTTTGTAGAGATGCCGTATATACTTTTGCCGAGGGGGTTTTCACTCGAGATTTCCGTGCACACAGTATTTCGTAATACGTGTATTTCGGCGGTATTTCTCAGGAAAAGTTCACCGTTTTGGAGCATATTTAGGCGTATTTCGGTGTATTTCACGTGAAATACCTGTGAAATACCTCATTTGGTGTACACGGTATTTCAGAAGTGAAAACCCCCTCGACTTTTGCAGACCAACCCTGTGATATTTTTTGTACCCTTATTGATACAAATGCCATCGCGTCTCATTTCCACTCCGCACAGTAATTCCAAACATTACGGGGCGACGTCGTTTTCAGAAGTGGGGTACTTTTTCACGGCCATCTACAGGGGTGGGTGATCCGTTCCGTCTCCGTCTTTTTTAAATGCTTATTCTGTACCGGATTCACGCGTGCGGGCGGGCCTGCCTACCGTTGCTCGTCAGGGACCCTTACGGCGCCATGCGAGTATACAACCCGTCCGCACGTAAGAATCCGGTACAGTATAAGCAGTTTAAAAAGACGGAACGGATCACCCACCCTGTATTAGAGTTTAGGGTTGAAAGTGGAGGCTATTAAGACGCCATGATAAAGTTACCGACCAGAAAAAATATTATTTACAGGGATACAATAATTATTATGACGACCCAATTTTTGCACGAACCCGTGAGAAAAGTCCTCCTGCAGGGTGTGCCGGCCCCTTTCAACGGAGACGCTCGGAGGGCGCGCGGGCGACGGCTAAGTTTGTGGAGCAGTTGTTATTTCACCCGGAAAAATGATTTCTTGTTTCAAGCACATTTTGACCTAAGATCAATGTACTTGAAACAAGAAATCATTTTTCTGAGCGTTGGCGGTGCAACGGCCCTGTGCCCCCCGACTATGATGACTCGCGGCGCCCGACGCCTGAGTCAGCGAAAGCCAAAGTCGTGAAGACCGGATATAGAGGAGGAGATGGGATTATATCGACCTGACGGCACGGCCTCAACGAGGGACGGGGGAGGTCTCGCCGAACACAAACGACATCGTGCGCTAGTTTTCCTGTCCCAGGGGATTGTGTATGTGTGTGAGTGTGTGTGTGATTGGGATTGCGAAATCGATGCGCTGTTGAGTTGTGTGTGCTCTCCGTGGGGGCGTACTACAACTTTTTGCCTCACAAAAGACAAAAGAGTTGAATTTCGCAAGTTCGGAGGCATTTCAAATGCTCATATACAAACTTGTGTTAAAACAAAATGTGTCACGTCATCGTACACACCCAGGAGATTTATTTCTTTCTTTAAAATTACTTTTTTGCACTAAAAGTGAAACAAAGATTTTTCCTTTGAAGTAAACTTTTTGTACCAGGTGGCTGACTCTCACCGCCGTATACTGTACCGCATGCACGCGTGCGGGCCGGTTGCCTTCTCGTAGGGGGCAGCGACGATAGGCACGCCCGCCCGCACCCGTGCATGCGGTACAGTATAACCACAAAAGTGCGCGGCGTGAGTCATCCACCTGGTTATAATGCTCCCGTGCTCGTCTCAACTATAACTAACACTTTTTCCATTGTTGTTGTATATTATCAAATTTTGGGTATTTGCCTTGGAACATGCAGTCCTGCAGGGGCCGCGCGTCGTTGGCGGGGACCTATAGTGCGCCATTAGCACCTGCTTCACCACCAATTACCACCCCCCACCACCCCCTCCGCCTCGTCTGCCATTGTCTCCCTGTGTGCCCCGGCTCAACGGCTGACGCGGCGCGCTCGATACCCACGTCCTATCGGATGTGGGATCAAAACTCTGTGCGCTGCGCCGCGCGCCACTCACTGGACAGGGCACTGCTGCGCGACACACTGGAAACCCCGATCGAAACTCCTGGAAACCCCAATCGAAACCTCCTGTAAACCCCACCTCGAAACACGTTTAAAGCCCGCCAATTCGAACTCCTTTTGAACCCCAATTGAAATCCCTGGAAACCCGAATCGAAAACCTCCCGGAAACTCCATTGAACCCACCTAGAAACCCCCATTAGAAATAACACCATCTCAGCCTCTGGAATCGGAAACCCCCTGGAGACCTCATCGGAACCCTTTGAAACCCCATTCAAAACCTCCGGAAACACCACCATCAAAAACCTATAGGGACATGTGCAACATTCAGGCACGGCACATGGTGTGACGTGGTGCGGCGGGCTGCCTGGTGTGCTGCTAGGAATTACAAATTGGCCGCGGGCGAGTCCGGGACTATGTGCGCTGGGCTGGCAGACAGCGGGCAGCGGGCGCGGGCAAATTGTTGACCAACGAAAAAGTTTTGCAACTGCATGCAAATGGCATTCAAAGTCGCTGATGTCAGAGAGGGCGCTCTTTGCTTTGGTATACTGTGACTGTTTTTTAGACCACAATTTTTTGTTTACGACACCTTTGCCAGTAGGCTATTTATGTTGTTCTTTTGACTATCATTGCTTTTATCAGCAGACACACTCACGTGGGACGTTTAAAGCGGCGGAACACTTGCAAACGACTGACTAGTAGCTCGGTAGCCCCCGACGCTGTTAGGGTAGGCCAACCCGCCGTACAGGCGTGTATACACTGGCCGGTGTTGCCTGCCCACCAGGCGGCTCAACCTTCCTGTAATAATATCATCAAACAATCCTTCGCCAAAGTTCTCGGCTTTCTGTTCATAGACCCACTAGAACGAACAAATGGATGTAGGCGAGTGGCGTCGTTCACTAAAATTTCCTTAATTTATTGACTTCGATTCCGTTTGCTTTTTTGTTTTTGTTTTTTGTCTGCTGAATGTGCAGAGTTTCCAGCTGGTTCTGATTGACGGCCACGTGCTGCTCTAGCAGGACGGTCGGTAGCGTGCGCACTGCTCACTCGCAGACAGACTGATGAGTTCCATCAATACAAACGGTAGCCCAACTCTGCACTCAGAAAACCGTATTGTTCTGAGAACGAAAACGTGACTTTATGCCGTGTAACAAAAATAAATAAAATAAAATCACTACAAGATTTTTTTTGGCTCAAAACGAGTGTTCAATTTATTTTTATTTTTTTTAATAATAAAGGTTACTGTCACCCGAACGAAAAATATGAGTTTGGTTAGGCCTACTGGCACGAAATTTTCTTTCCAGTAAAGAAGCGGTTTTCTGGGTGTACGAAAGGTCCGTCCCAGCGGTGGTGTTTCGATTTACACCCTGGAGTGGGTGTCTGTGGAGTGCTCCCGGAGCGGCCGTGTCCGGCCCAGCTGGGCTCAGGTTTCGCCGCGGGCGGGCCGGCCGGCCGCGCTGGCCTCCTGGGCGGTAGGCGGCGTGACCTAGCCGTCCTAGAGCCGGCTCCGCCCGGCCTGGTCGCGGGTCTGGTCTGTTGACACGGATCTGAATACACTCTACCACCACCAAAGTGGCGCAGCCGAAGGGCGTGGCAGGGAAAAACTTTCCCACCTAGTGTGTTTTTAATGCAGAATTTTGTCAAATTTGTCAATTTTTATGTTATTTTAGTAATTTACGATGTATCAAAGGGAAAGGCGGTTGGTTGGGACTTTCAAAGAAATTCTTAATTGATATTTTACATTAAGGCATTAGAAGTATAAGTACCTCTGGAAAGGATCCTAAATAGTATCCTAAAATTGCAGTTTGTAGTCGCATTCGGTTCTCTGTGAAAGCACTATTGTCAAACGGCTCGGCGTATTTTGAAAAGTTCATATCCAGGTTTCGGAAACTTATTCAACTTTAGAAATGAAGGCAGCAAAGTCGAAGCCCATCTCCAGGGACCTGCTCGGCCGTGCTGGAGTCCGCCTGGAGTCGCCTGGAATGCGCCGCGCCTGCGCCTCCCCCTCTGGTTTGTTTGGCGCCCGCCTCGTTAACGTTGTCCGTCTGTTTTGCAGGGAGCCCTGGAGCAGCAGCCAACATGTCGTCGGACTGCGGCTCGTGCCTGGCCAAGTATGTCTTGTGCCTCTTCAACTTCGTGCTCTTCGTAAGTGATGCTGCATACATTTTTGGAGGGTCTTACCATTAGTCTTCAAATAATAAAATAAAACCATCATTCAATTGAAAACAACCAAACAGTTGTACTTTCAGGCAGTCCCCTTTTGGCTGTCTTTACCTGAAGATAAGTAACTCGTTATTAAGATAAAGATTTGCGGTTTTCGTTTAAGTTTTCATAAACTGATTACGATCTTTTGTTGTAATCAGAGAACATCGGATTCATTTCAAGCGTGTAGCAATAAGTTAGCCCTAACGATTGCTTTCTTGTTTTTGTCTTTTTTGTCAGCTCCTCGGCGGCGTGGTGCTGGGCGTGGGCGCCTGGTACGCGGCCGACAGCGCCTCCATCGTGAAGCTCGTGCACACCATCGAGAACACGCAGGGACAGAAGGTACTACTTTACTCACTCACCTCGGGGTCGCCGTCCTGCTCGCGGTGTGCTGCACCGGCGGGGGGTCACTGACCGCCGGCCGCCCCCGCGCCGCGCTTGCCTCCCCCTCGTGCCTTCGCAGTGTCCGCGCGGGGCTGGTGTGCGGGGGGAGCGGGAGGGGGTCCAATTTCGCGTGTTTCTTTTACTTTGCCGGGTCAGGTTCGCCCCCCCCCCCCCCTGATGGCTTGCTGTAATGAGTACGGACTTGCCGTGCAGTGCAGCTGGCCCCCGCCATGGCTCGAGCCAAAGTTAACTGCATTTTTTCAGCCCCCTGCATAGCGTGGCCGGGGTACGTTAATATCCAAAAAATAATTTGAGTAATTTTTTCAAGAATTTTTGTTTAAATCTCTTAATTTACCTGCTGAGCTTTCCAACAATTTCTGGAAATATTTCTATTTTTCCTATTTTTTTTTCTGGAAAAGTTTTCAATTCATCTAAAGCGATTTCGGACTTTGAAATCCCTTCGTGAGCGTGTCTATGGGCGGGCGTGTGTCCACTTCACGGCCGACCGATCGTTCAAAACGAATGAATGATTGACAACTTATTGGACGGTTGTGGACGCCAGACAGAGCTACGTTACTGCTCGATGCGGACTTGTAGTTGTGCGTCGGAGTCGTTCCGGCGCCGCTTCGTCCGGGAATGCGCTCCCCGTGTGTCCGGGACTATGCGACGTGATCCCGGACGGGGACGCCGACGACGACGAGGACGAGTGCGCGCCGTGTCCTGCGCGGCCGCCGGCGCGGACGAGCAGGCATCCCGCGGCCGGCGACGACGCAGGGCCGCGCGCGGGCATTCGCCGTAAAAGATGTTTGCACGGAGCGGCAAAAAAGTGCAATATCCCCGGCAGTATCCGCAATATCCCCCCCGTGTACGAGAGCCCTTGCGGCCGGCGGGGCGAGTGGCTCAAGTTGCGGCGAATGGCTCCAGTTGCCAGGCGCGGTCGCCGCCCTGCATGCAGGCTCCTCCAGTTCCAGTTGCAGCCACAGCCCCTCCTGCAGTCTCCTATCGAGTTCCAGAGCAAGAGCGCCCCGCAGAGCCGACGCGACGCCCTTCAGGCCGCAGGCCGCAGGCCTATAGCTATCTAGCTCTAGGCTGCAATCTGCCTTGTCCTTCCGCATGACTGCCTCAGCGGAGCACGCCATAGCACCCCTTTCATGCACCCTCACCCCCATCCCCACCCCTACCCCACACTACTGCTCCAGGCTAGACCGCCTCCACAGCGTTGCACCCACAACCCCCTCTACTACGTTATCACCATAGTACGTGCAAGGGTTGCTCTCTCGCGTATTTTAAAAGGATTTACG